TGGGATCCTGTTATTTGATGAAGTAACTAGAATTCACTGGTAGAACGTACTGCCCTAAATACAATTTCCTGAGCAAGAAATTCTGAGTACCTCAACAAATTTCAGATCCCAGGATTCCATAGGATGGGACCAGGGCAGTTAAAGTGGAATCACACTGCTATAACTATGTACTGTAGATGCATTCCTAAACTTATAAAGAATCTAAAAGGATTTGCTAGCAGGCAATGGGAAAGACCTCTGCTTGAGACTTTGGAGACCAGACAGTACAACATGAGTGAGGCGTCCTAGGCTGCTTCTACACTGCAGAATTAATGCAGGTTGACACTGCTTTTACTGCCATGGCTCAATGCTATAGATTTCTAGGGTTTGTAGTTTTGAGATATTTAGTCTTCTCTATAAGAGAGCTCTAGTGCCACAGCAAACTCCATAAGTGGAAGGCAGTAGGTGTTAGGGTTCCCATAAGTTATAGCTGGTTTGATGATAGACAACAACAGTCCTGGGAATAGCAACCAACTGAGCATTTCTTTAATATTTGGGAAAGAACTTGATGTATTAAAAATGAAGTGCAGGAGAAAGCAAAACTGACTGATTTTGTCATTAAACTTGGATGTTGTTAACAATTTTACCATTACTCTGGCAAGTACAATGGTGGAATACAATAATCTAACAAAACAAGAAAGGAAACTATCCACATCTTTGTTGACGATATTTACTTGCCCCCTTATTAGTTGTGTTCAATTCAAATCTCGTTTCTTGTGAATTTCTGAGCAGTTACTTAGCAGAAGATTGCAATTTGAAAATGTTCTTTCTTTCTTTCCCTTTTAACTTTCCCTTTTTATTAAAGAAATCAAAACCAGCACAATTAGATACCTCCTGATTCTGATTTGTTTTAATACCATGAGAATGTCTACAGTGGCCTAGATACTAAGGGAAAATATTTAAAACAGCAAGTCTCTCATTTCTGAAGGAAAGTTCAAAGATATCTCACAAAGAGCAAAAGGAAATATAAAAAAATAATTTGTTACATTTGTGTGTGATGAATGTCCTTTTCATGTTGAATTCTATTGTGAGCATCACATGAAAGAATGTTGCAACTGAGAATGGGAAGGGAAGAAAATAAGTTGGACTCTTTGCAGGTGCCCTTCATAGCAGTGGGTCTTTCTGGAGACAAGAATATTTCTTCCACAAAAATCAGAATCCTGCACAAAAATCCATTGTGCATGTGGAATACACATGTTGTTGTTGTTGTTGTTGTGCACCTCCAGGTTGTTTCTGACTTATGGCAATCACAGGTTTTGTTGAGGCAGAGAATGTGTGATTTATCCAGAGTCATGGCTGATCAGGGAGTCAAATCCTGGTGTTCAGAGTCATAGTCCAACAGCCAAACCACTGTTCCACATAGGCTCCTACACATAGTACACATAGAATCATAGAGTTGGAAGAGATCTCAAGAGCCATCCAGTCCAATCCCCTGCCATGCAGGAATACATAGTGAAAGCATTCCCAACAGATGGACATCCAGCTTCTGTGTAAAAACCTCCAAAGAATGAGATTCCACCATCTTCTGGTGTCAAGTGGTGTCAATCTGGATTATTTCTACAGTGCAGATACAACCTAGTTATTGGTCATTTTGGCAGTCTGTGGTATCTGCAGAACCCTTCTCTAGCATGTTTCAAATGTTGATTCTCTTCTGGACAGCTTTTTTCAGCTTTCACAAGGGTACATAGAAAATCGAAATACTATGATCTAGATTATCCTGATTTTGGTGTTTGAATATATATTTTTATACTTGAGTATTTGATCTGTCTGAAGCTGTCCTTCATAGTATACTTCCAAATATTAGCCATCTTCTGATTTCATGATTCATGTCTCTCCTTGGACTAATGACTATTTAATAATAATAATAATAATAATAATAATAATAATAATAATAA